CCTCCCTCCTCCCCTCCCCTCCCTCCCGGGGCATCCCTCGTGACACGTACCTCTCTCCGGCTGTCAGCGCTGCTAGATCCTCCTCACCCTTGCACGGCTTCGAAGTATCTTCGATTATCCGCGTGAACAGCCTGCGCACGGAGACGAAAATTCACGTTCGTTAACAGACGTTAACCACGTTTTAGTACTAACGCATGTAGTCGGAAAATAACACAGCTACACATTACTAGGTTTAACAGATGTATTTTTTGGGAGGGGGGGGGGTTCGCATAGGCTTTAACATACATTCATGTTAAAGAAATTAGAGCAAGTTGAGTTCAAGTAACCCACGTATGCATGACAAACTTGCGGTGTAATGAACAGGATATAATAGATATTTCCATAATTTACTCTCGTTTTTTTACCTTCATAAAGTTTTTCCATTTATGTTTTAAATATATTGACGATCGTTTACATATAGCTGTCTATCGGACTTGACACATTTGATGACCAAATTTTGAACATTTTACATTAATTAATTAAATTTTTCGACAAATTTTAGCCAGGATTTCGACGTGTTTCAAACCGTACGCTATTGGCTTCTGTCACACTCACACTTCCAGTTCAGCTGAGTTGAGCAATCTGTTTCTCCTGTAGCAGGGAAGACGGAAGAATCGCCCTCTGTGGTAGACGGCTATGTGCGTGCTGTCGCGAAGGTGCATCACGTGATCTAGAACACGGACAACGGTATAGTAATATTAGCGGTAATCGTAGATATAATAGAGGCAGTGATTGTAATATTATACTAATACTAACTAATATTAGCAGTAATAGTAGTTATAATAGAGGCAATTATAGTAATATTAGCAGTAATAGTAGTTAGAATGCAGGCAATGACAGTAGCATTAATGGTAATAGTAGTTAGAACATGGACAATGATAGTAACATTAGCAGTAATAGCAACATTAGCGGTAATAGTAGTTAAAACACGGGAAATGATAGTAATATTTTTTCGTTAGCAGCTCAGTAACGGAACCTAACCGCTCAAAAAATTAAACATTTAACGAAGCAACAGCAACAGTAGATACATAGCAACAGCATCTATATATACGATCTTAGCAACGCCAGCAGTGTTTATGCTATTGCAACATCACCAGCAGCATTAATACTTTACTATCAACACCATCAACAGCAACACTACAGTAGCAACCAGAGCAGCATTGATGCATTAGCTACAACACCAGCAGGCCTTATACAACACTGCCTGCACTGAATCGTTATAAATACCTTCATGCTGGTGGCTGGAAGGATAGGATGCATATTGTAATGTGCTGAAACATGACTAAGCTTGCAGGATATTAATTTTTATATTTTTATTTTCACGCCAGAATCTTTGCATACACTTCCTAAAATGAGGAAATATATACGCACACACACGCCCCACACCTACCCACACACACACGCCCCCCCACTCACCCGTCTCGAGCCCCGGTATCCTCGTCGTGTTGAACAGCCTCTCAAACTGTCCCGAGCAGAGCGGCACAACGTTCTGCACGATGACTGGCTTCAAGGTCTGCTGCGAGATCATGCGGCGGAACTGGAACAACGCGCGCACGCTGTTGGCCGCGCGCGCCGCCTGTATGTGCGTCGGCTTCTCCATGACGTCCTGCCGAGAGCGGGGGGAGAAACGAGTCTATTAGTACGACACTGTCTCTCCAAAGGAGTAGGAATAGAAACAGGCATCTGACAGGATAGGGATAGAAACAGGCATCTGACAGGATAGGGATAGAAACGAGGCATGTATAATATATCCTCATGACGTCCTGCCGAGAGCAGGGGGAGAAACGAGGCGTCTATTAGTACGACACTGTCTCTCCAAAGGAGTAGGGATAGAAACAGGCATCAGACAGGATAGGGATAGAAACGAGGCATATATAATATATCCTCATGACGTCCTGCCGGGAGCATGAGGAGAAACGAGGCGTCTATTAATACGACCCTGTCTTCCTGACGGAGTGTGGTTAAAATGGGGTGAAGGGATGATGATGATAAACAGGGCATCTGATATTATACAACAATATATATACACATATAATACACTGTTAATCATTTCTAGTGCTTAAATGCTTTTTTTGTCCGAGTGAAACAGAAACACGAGCGTGTTCAGCCTTCTTGTTATGATAAACCATCACATGGGTAATTCCATGCTTTGGTGGACACCAGCCCAAAAAATAAATCTTACAATAAAAAGTCAAGTGTCTGTGAGCTGATACAAGGATTGACATATTAAAGTTTATCAGGTGAGAATTTTTTCCCCTTAGTGTTTCTATTTTAGAAGTTCAAAAGAAAAAGACTAGCGAAAAAACGAGTCAGGCATGCTTCGTTTCTGCATGCTAAAAAGGTATAATTTTATCATGTTCTTTTAATCAAGTTAATTTTTGTATTCATGTAATGTATATATGTAATATGTTGTAAATTAATGTATATATGTAATATGTTGTAAATTAATGTATATATGTAATATGTTGTAATGTATTATGATTTCAAACCTGCCAACGTCCACGTATCACGTGCTATCATCGCTGCCACTCACCAGCCCGTAGAAGTTAGAGTTCACCACGATCGGCGAACGTCCACGCAGGTAAACAAACTCCTCCCACCAATCAGACACCTGTCAATCACAAACATCAACTTAACAAACAGGTGCAGGGTTTCTTATACATAAGCAGAGATGCCAACACTTTTCTGAGCAAACCGTAGTGAGGATATCTGAAATCTGTAGTCCGAGGGTCACGCAGTGACCCAAGTATGTTAGGGGGGTTCGGGGCATGCCCCGCGGAAAATTTTTGATTCCGAGATGCAATTTTCTGCATTCTGGGACCCAAAATGATAATAAGTTCACACTGATATTTGCTGCTAAATACATGTAGTTATTTTTAATCATGTTATATCAATGTAACACTGAAACAAAACACTTGAAATATCATAAAAATGATTTTTTTTCACCGCAAGCATACTAATTATACGATTACCCACACCCAGCACGCACGCCGCACGCACACACGCACGCACGCACGCACGCACGCACGCACACCCGCAATGCTACTGCCACCTGCAAGCATACTAATCATACCATTACCCACCCACGCACGCACGCACGCACGCACGCACGCACGCACACACACACGCAATGCTACTGCACCTGCAAAAATACTAATCATACCATTACCCACCCACGCACGCACGCACGCACGCACACCGCACGCACGCACGCACACTACGCACGCACACACGCCACGCACGCCACGCACGCACAACCCCGCAATGCTACTGCTACTGCAAGCATACGCATCATACCATTACCCACCGAAGCACGCACGCACGCACGCACGTGTAACGCAGCTAGTTTCACCATAGCTCATTAATTACTGTTAGTTTGGGCATGAGCGCCTGCGGTCGCGTTGGCGACAAGCCAGGGGGAAATAGATGAGATATTCCGGTGCGCGCGATCCAGGCGTGAAGGTAATAGTGGAAAGCAATAAGTGACACCCATAACCACACAGCAACAGCAGTTCTGCGCCACACAGACACAATTATGCTAACAACCACGATCGACACGATGGAACAAGGTCACCCTGACCAACGCTCTCTCGCCGCGGTGACCGGTTCGCCTCTCTCGCCCTCGCCACGGAGACCGGTCCGCCTCTCTCTCTCTCTCTCTCTCACTGCTGCGACCAGGCCGCCCCTCTCTCTCTCTCTCTCTTCACTGCGGCGACCATCGCCCTTCTCTCTGCTCTCTCACTGCGCGACCAGTCCCCCCTCTCTCTCTCTCTCTCTCACTGCGGCAGACCAGTCCGCCCTCTCTCTCTCTCTCTCTCTCACTGCGGCGACCGTCCGCCCCTCTCTCTCTCTCTCTCTCACTGCGGCGACCGTCCGCCCTCTCTCTTTCTCCTCTCACTGGGACCAGTCCGCCCCTCTCTCTCTGCTCTCTCTCACTGCAGCGACCAGTCCGCCCTCTCTCTCTCTCTCTCTCACTGCAGCGACCAGTCCGCCCCTCTCTCTCTCTCTCTCTCACTGCGGCGACCAGTCCGCCCCTCTCTCTCTCTCTCTCTCTCACTGCGGCGACCAGTCCGCCCCTCTCTCTCTCTCTCTCTCACTGCGGCGGACCAGTCCGCCCCTCTCTCTCTCTCGCCCTCACCACGGAGACCGGTCCGCCCCTCCATCTCTCGCTGTAGCGACCAACCTACCATCCAGATCTTGGTCTTGAGGGAGACTTTCCCGTGCGCCTCGTACATCCAGCCCGTGTAACTGAGCAGGCATTTGAAGACAAAGCGCAGGAGGTAGACGGCAAAGACCCCACGCGAGCACGCTGTACAGCAAGCAGCTGAGGCACAGGAACGACTTGGGTGCCAGTACTCTCTGCAACGAAACGCGGAGCAGACGTCATTTGCAGTGCGCGCCCTAACCCTATCCTAACTCTAACCCTGATCCTAACTCTAACTCTAACCTTAACGCTAACCCTAATCCTAACTCTAACTTTAACCTTAACGCTAACCCTAATCCTAATTCCTAACTCTAACCTTAACGCTAACCCTGATCCTAACTCTAACCTTAACCTTAACGCTAACCCTGATCCTAACTCTAACCTTAAC